GGAGCTATAGGCACGGTATTCCCGTTTGGTTATCTAGGCCTTACCCCTTATGGGGACCCTGAGGGGTGAGCCATTTCTCTCTCCCACATACTCCAGGCTTACCATGGCTAATAATGATTTTGTACCTTTGTCAGGGGTGTTAGGGCTTGCCCCTCTATCAACTATTCTGGTTCCCCGACCCTTGGCTCTCCTTTGATCACGACTCTAAACACGGCTACTTCCCCCTCCTCAATACCTGCTGATAATTAAACCCATTCCAAAGTACTTGCACAGGTCATTACCCAACCTTCAGAAAACATTCCTTCTTCTCTCCCAACAACCTTCACTCCATCTCCCCATCCTCTACAATCTTCATTTTCCCCCCCCCCCCCTCCCGTGTTACTACTCTCATCCTTATTTTCTATTAACCTGTAGTACTACCTTATTCAGCACCATCCCTACTTTCTCTTGTCCTCATCTTTCAACTACTTCCACCACTACAAATCTTCTGAACACTCTTTTTTAGCCCAGCTAAGTGGGATTGACTCTTGGTGATTCCCCCAACAGTCCCATACTCTGACAATACCCTACTTCTCCAACAATGTCTCCAAAAACAAGTAGATAAGGTTTCCTTTCGCAGATCGACGTTTGGTGATTCCCCATACCATACTAACTTTCTATTCCCCATATTCCCTTACTATGACAATACCCTACTCTTCCAACAATGTCTCCCAAAAACAAGTAGACACAGTTTACTTCCACAGCCGTTCTGATTGTTCACGCCTTGTCACAGTTACATATGAATCCCAAGTTCGTGCATTTTATCTACCCTGACTTACCTCACTTGCAAACCTATTCCTGCTTAGCTTCAATTCTCCCTTAATACTTATACCAGAACTGTTTCCACCTCCTCAGCTGATTGCCTCAGCTGATTTTGTGTGTGTTAAATTATGTAGGTATGAGAAAATATTTGTCATTTCTGCATCAAATACGACAGCAGCATCAGCAGATCACTTGCTATGACTCACCGGAGCTTCCTGCATATTTCTGGGATTCACATTTGGCTAAGCGGCCAGGGGACTTTAACACATTCCGTGCAATATGACTCAATGATGGTCATGATACATAAGTTTATTCTGCGATGTGACTCACTTTCTGTTTTATTAATGCATTTTCAGACTTATGCTCTATAGATACTGGTTTATAAATGTTCAAGTATTTAGTCACGAAATATATGATTATTTGGTAATAATGAACACAAATTTAGTATAAAGACTTCTTGAGAAATATATATATACGTGATACATATACTTGTTTTATTTTTTGTTTACATTTTCCGTGATAACATTAAACATAATGAAAACACCGCATACAGCCCAGATACATCTCACTTATACCAACCCTCACCTCTTGGACCTGGATAACATTAACACGTATAGGCTACTTTTCTCAATCTTCATTAGATGCTTTTTTCTGCCGCGTCGACTTCTAAGGTCATTAACGGCGTATTCGGAATATAGAGATAGCGTGAGACTTGCGGGCAGAGCCCCAGGTAAGGAAGTGCTGCATGACATCAAAGGTCAGAAGGCGCCACGGTAAAGCAGAAAAACGAAAAGGGTTAGGAATTAGTTAATGATTACGACAACGTTACAGGTTGAACAGTACTAGAGCGTAGTATGGTAGTGAGAAGGGCAGAGGGGAGCTGATGCGGAATAGTATAAGATAAGGCTTGTCAGAATGGGAAGGAGTTAAGGGAGTAGGGAGCCTTGATAAAGTATTACGGCGAAAACGGCAAAAATGAGTTTAACGATTAGGATAAGTGGACAGAAGGGGATTATGAAGAAAAAGAAAAGGAAAGAAGAAAAGACCAGGCAAAATTATCGTCAGTATCATCATTATTATTACTATTGTCATTTTTAGTAATAGTAGTAGTAGTAGTAGTAATGGTAGTAGTAGTAGTAGTAGTAGTAGTAGTAGTAGTAGTAGTAGTAGTAGTAGTAGTAGTAGTAGTAGTAGTAGTAGTAGTAGTAGTAGTAGTAGTAGTATCATTATCATTATTATGGTTATTGGTTAATGGTTAGAAGAAATAAATGTGCTAGACATTATTGTGGTGAAAAGGGTGGAAATGAGTTAACGATCAGGATGTGTTAGATGTCAAAGGTTGTAGGACGCTGTAAAATAGAATGTTAGTGGAAAGGATATAGAGGGAGAGCAAATGTAAAAGGACGTAGTTAAAGATATAGGGCGATCAGATCGAATGGAAAGAATGTGTCTGAGGAAGGGGGGATGACACTGTATGAGGAAACTGCAAAAGAGCTATTATGAAACAATCAAAGGGTAATACGGCACGAAGCGATAGTTGTGGCAGTAGGAGAGTCATCCTGAAAATGAGATAAGGGATCAGGGGAAGAGGGTTAAATATCGGGAAGAATGTCAGGAGGGGAAGGATCCGCAGAAGGATATTGTTGCGACTTACTCCACTGGCACATGTGCGTGACTGAGCAGAGCAATTTCAACGGTCATGACCAAGTTGTTTACATAGAGGGCAGCGAGCTGTGGAGCGACAGTATTTGGTCGGACAGGGCAGAACACTCCACCAATATAAACGTCATGGGGGAGGTCATCTCTACGGAAGCTAATCTTTGCAATATTAGTGTAGGACTTACGTTAGCTTCTGGGAGGAATAGTATAGCACTTAACTGCCATTGCATCATAGTCAACAAGGCATGCGAATAAGAAGTTTTCACAGTCTGACCAATCCTTGTCGTAGACAGGACAGTCAGTCGAAGAGACGGAAACAGTTCCGGTACAAGTATTAACAGAGGAGTTAGGTCGGTCAGAATAGATAAGCACGAGCTTTGGACTCTGATGTAGCTGTGACAAAGCGTAAACGATCGGAGTGGCTGTTGGAAGAGAAGGGTATTGTCAGAATATGTGGCTGTAGGGGGAATCACAAAGAATTGATCCCACTTGGCTGGGCCACAAAGAGCATTCAAAAGGTTTGCAGAGATGGAAGCAGTAGAAAGACGAGGGCGGTGGGAAGATGGGGTGGGATGGGAAGAGAACACTAAGGATAAAGAGAAGTAATAAATGGTTAAAGGAGAGTTGATGAAGGGGCAAGCCTTAATGCATTTAATAAGGGTAAAATATCTTTATTATTGGCCATGGTGAGCCTGAAATAAATGGGGAAAGGAAACGGTCTAGGTGATCAATCAAGGGAATACTGTGCACATAGCACCCAGAGGTTGTTCATGACTGACACAAGGCCATCCTTTTAGCATGGCTCTCACACCTTAGGACGTGGACAGAAGGGAATAGTAAAGAAAAGGAAAAGTAAGGTGGAGAAGAAAAGACCATGCAAAATTAGTTGAGGCAAGGGCTGAAGTCTAAGGCAGGGCTGATCCCCTACATTGGGCTTGCCTCTGTCTCCTAAGGCCCCTACGACAACGGGCAAGGGATTAGGGGGTTACTATTATGGAACCTTCTATATAGCTTGAATAATGATTTTCCTTCAAAGCCATAATCTACAAGACCATATTTTTTTCCCAAATATGATTTGCCTCACTAGCTGACAGGGCAACTTGAAATGGCATTGAAAATTTTCTTTTTTCCTTTCCCAGTAACAGGTGAACACCAACAATGCCAATTGATAAGTATTATATAATGAGAGCAACAAATATTTTTTGGCAAAATAAAAATGAGACTCGCCATCAACTTTACAAGAACAAGGTCAAGAAGTAATGCACATGACTTTGAAAATGTAAAATGATCTACTTATCTCCTCTCTTTTCTTTATTATGTAAATAATCCATGTGCTCTGTGGTGATCTTGTGTAAAAAAAATTTTCTTTATTCATCAGTATAAAAGAATGTAATCAAATATTTCTTTTAACAAAATACAGACACATCACTGTAAGTAAGGGAAAGAAATTACAAGAACAATCAATCAATAAATATTCTTTATTATGCAGGTATCCTTTATAAGAAATAATGACAATGAGTTTTAAAGCTTTTCATTTTATGTACTTCTCTGTTGGCGCAAAAATATCAGCTTTTATAAGTATCATTTGACATGCTTATTACAATAAAAAATAATCAGTGTAATTATAAAATATATTTATCTATATGTATCTATACATACATACATACATGCATACATATATATATATATATATATATATATATATATATATATATATATATATATATATATATATATATATATATATATATATATATATATATATATACATACATATATATATGACACATTATAAAACAATCTACTCTTACTTCACAAAAATGCAATATATACCTATCTGCAGTCAATTCAATTTGATAATAAATGACAAAGCTCTGAAAAAATGAGTAAATATATCAATATTTTCCAATATCAATAACCTTAAAACACATTTTTGGTAATGTAATGCCCCCGTTATCCTCAGTTTCAGCCAACACACCTGTGTCCTTTTTTATTAGCAGGCAGGAACTATATTTAAATCTAATTTTAAAAAACCTTATACTCACTTCTCAAAAATAGTATTTGGTACATTATCTACATTTCAATACTTTTGTACTGATATACTGTGTTAATATAGTTGGCACTTGCTTGTGAATGATAAAAAATTGTTTTATAGACAGTACAAAAAAAACTACTCATATACTACTACCATATAACAAAAGCTAATTGTTAATTCTTATCAAGATGCTCATTAGCGTCTGTCAGTATGAAATTTTTACCATTTGCTCCATGAGCTAATCACAAAACCTTTCACATTTCCCTGGCAATACACTAACTAGACTTTAAAATACATCCAAAGGTTTTTTTTTTTCATCTAAGAAAGAAAATGTTTAAATAATGATGACAATTCTTTTTTTTTATCTAATGGTACATCAAGGTATATCTGAGATTCAATAACTGAATCATTAATCGAGGAGAGGAGAGGAGAGGAGAGGAGAGAAGAGAAGAGAAGAGAAGAGAAGAGAAGAGAAGAGAAGAGAAGAGAAGAGAAGAGAAGAGAAGAGAAGAGAAGAGAAGAGAAGAGAAGAGAAGAGAAGAGAAGAGAAGAAAAGAGAAGAGAAGATAGGAGAGGAAAGCAGAGGAAACTAATAAAAAAAACTATATTAACTAAAGCTTTTCAACCTTTTGGTAACTAGTAAGATCATTTACAGAATCCACAACAACCAGATATTATCCCTGAAGATCAGCAGTTTGTTTATCTCATGTTTCCATTTATGAATTCCTCTGGAAGGAAGTTATCGTTGCTGATGTTGCTCCTGTTGAGAATCCTTCCACTCTGCTCCTTTAGTACATTGAGGAGAGCATGTGGAGGCACTTTCTCGTTGAGGAGGTCCATGATGCTCCTTTGCGGGTAACAAGGAAGAGGTCACATGTAGGTTATTACAAATATGCCTTTGGAAATTATTATCATCTATATAAAAAATAGATACAGGAAAAAATAAATAAATGGTATGAATATTTTTTCTAAAATGCTGGAGAACCAAGAGATTTCTCCACTTACTTGAAAAGTGTTGGATGCATCACAATACCAGCTGCTTGAACCAAGTCATACAACTTTCTCTGGTCCGAGGTCAAGTTGTTTTTGGTTACCAGGATATACTGGTGGATTTCACTCATCCTCAAGTTGAGCAGGAAGCAAAAAAGAACCTGAAAAAAATATATATATATAAAATATACTGTCTTATATAATTAAACCTATTGGATGTACAGCCATTATTCAATATCTTTGGTAAATATCTATACGGTTTTCAAAATGACTTTGGCAATGATCCATTCAAATTTACTTGATCTGTAATCTGTGATGGAAGGCCTACAATCTGCAGTCCAACCTGACAGTGGTGCAGTATCAACCAGTCACCATTTTGGCCAACTACCAATAAAACTTTGCCACATACAATCTGGAATGAAATAGCTAGTAGAACTTGAAAATTAACTGTCAACGAAGGAACCTGTCCAAGCTCTATCTTGCCAGAATATACATCACTGATTTTTTTTAGTCTTTGTCAGAGCACATAGCCCAGAGGACACAATAGTCACTTGACATTGTAACACTGTTGGGTTGGACTTGCAGTCTGTTATCTTTTAAGTGCATTCTTTAATATGAATAATGTCACCAACCTTCTCCTACTGTAAAAGCATGAAAATAAAGAAACAAATAAATAGGTTAAAAATACTTATTTATATGTATCATGATAACTGCTATCGACATCACAGATACAAATTCCAATTCATCAGTAATTGAGTCGCTACCAGCTTTAATACTAATAATGGCATTGTCTATCAAAATGTTTTTCCTCATGTTCTGAGTATTGTAAAATAAAATGTATGTCTTCATTAAAACTGCTTTTAAAAATATATATAAATTGATTGTAAACCTTTTCATATAGACTTTTGTCTCACCCCACTGGAAGAATCCTTAGAAAACAACAATAAAAAAAAGAGTAAGGGCAACTAAAAAAATAACTAGTCCCTAACATGACAGAAAGACAAGATGCCAACATAAATGACACAATTATAAGGATGAATAACAATAAACAAGTGCAGAACAATCTGCTCTGTACAGGCAACTGTTTCATATAACCTGTATAGCCTATGAAAAAAAGCTGGGGAAAATCCACTTTCATTGCATAATCAAACACCATATATAACAGTACATAAAACAATCCACTATATATTTTTTTCTAAACCATACAATAAAAATATGAAATAAAAAATAATATATAATGCAATGTTTTTGTTGGGTCTAAATATCCTTATTGTCTACTTATTTGAAAAAATGCTACTAATTGTTTGTAAAATAAAAGGGTAACTGTTTACAAATCACCCACAGTGGCTTTGAGGACAGTACTTATTTCTTGTATTGTGTCATCCAAATCCATTTGACAATTGCTGTGTTTTGTGTTTTACTCTAAATTATGCAAACTGAAAAATAAAAAAGTTGTAACATTATGCTCACAGCAACTCCTTCACATTAATCAATAAAAAGATTTTTCTTTTACCTGATGTGCATTTATTTGAAAAGGAACCATCTATCAGAAGAAAAAAATATATATATTTAATTAGTCTATAGATAATAATCAATTAAAACCATTCTTGTATTGGCAGGCAAATCAACTGTTGTTCTGGGCTTCATAAAGTTTTACTATTCTCAACAGTTTGGAGTCAGTTCTCATACAACAAAAATGGTACGTTACATTTACATTGGTAATACACCCAGGGGGTTTAATATCAAATAAGGAACCAGTTCTATCCAACGAGAATGTACATGAAGGATGTTTGTTGGTGTTTTCACAATATCCCCACTAGCTGTGCAAGCAACCATGATCACCATGTACACTATATGCCATACAGGCGAATACATTACTAGACTACCATGTATCTTACTTCTTAATTTTAGGTTAGACACAGTTCAACAATATTTTATATGATTTATACCCCCTATCCTAAATCTGTTAGTTGAGGAGGGGGTACTTCTTTACAGTCCCCAACTTCATGTCACAATACTTTTTTCCAACAATAAGTTGCTGTGACTGGTTGGCACATGCCCTTCAGGCACTATCCATAGGGAGGGTTAATGGGGAGCTCTGCCCCCAACATCCCCTACAAATATTATCTTCACCTCAGTAAGTACCAAATTTAATAATTTTAAAATGCAGACCAATTCCAGAAATTTACCAGTTTATTACATATTTTTTCTTCAGTTCTATAATCCATTCTTGAATTAAATAATTCATGCACATGTACTTTTATTAAAACCTACTGAGAAACATACAATAAAAAGTATCACATTTGGTACAAAGTAAACTTTGCCTATAGTAGACAGAATAAAAATATTTAGTACACTTGGCATATCCTTTGTAAATTGATAATAAAAATTTGTGCAACTTGAAAGTAATATGTACTGGTATACATTTACATAATGACCACACAAACATGGGGAAAATCTAATAACAATGTCATACAAAGAGGGAAATAATGTAAAAAGAATAATGTAGGAAATGACAAAAATACATAGGGACAAAAGCTGAGTACAGACTAAGTCCTCAGCCACTGATTTTATTCCATACCCATATAGATTATTTCATGTATCAGGGTGCGTAGTAATTTTCCCTCTCTTTATGACAGTGTCATTAGATTTTCCCCAATGTTAGTATGGTCATTATACAGGAAATAAGTAAGAGTAATTGTAACTTTACAAAGTTACCACCCAGTCTGAGGAGTATGGCCAGTGCACGCACAAGACGAAATCTAAGGTTCGTTATGTGCATGCCTGAAAAGCAGTATTGCACGTGCACACACCAGCCCTAAAAATGGAGCGAAATTTACTCAGGGCTACATTCTCTATACCCGTAGGAACTCAAAAATAGAAGATGATTGATGCATGTCAACCTATAATTTGCTATATTAAAAACATTAATACTTTTATGCTTTTACAAAATGTTTTATTGGAATATTTCGACTTAAACTCTACACCTACTTCTAGAAGCTGCACATGCGTCTAACGGTTCTACACGCGCAAGATCTTGTCGGGAATGGACATGCTTCTCAGACTGGGTTACCACAACAAATGCCACGTGGAAAGTAAGTCCACGGCAATCAGGTGATGGTCAGGGGCAGAGATCCTATTGGGAAATATGGCAGAGCCCCCGGTTAGGAAGGTTTTGTCCAAACGCCGATGTTTGTGGATTTCCCAGGAATGGCTGAGTAATAGGCACTTAATCTCAGAAGTTGCAGTCACTTTGTAAACATTACCAATACTTTCATTTACGTCATTTGTGATGGAAAATAACAGGAGATTCACATACATCAGTGTGGATAACTGAAAGAAGGAATGATAATTGCTAAATTGGACGGCAGTGTGGAAAAAGTCACCCTTAAGGGCAACTGCAATGAACAAAGATGAATTACAAAGTTGGATGGCTGCAAAGGAGACGCCTAAAATAACACTAGCATCTGATTTAGTATGACTTAGTAGAATAAAAGCGAAACAGTAGAAAACAATAGAAGGAAAATCACAAAATCAAATTCTCAGAATAAAAACGAAACGATAAAAAATATAGGAAGAAAATTACAAAACCAAATCCAAAGTCCTATTTCGTGACGACTAAATATTGACCTTTTTTATCACAAATCTTTCATTTTCCTGCCGTGTAAGTCCCTCTATTAACAACTAAAGTCATTAATATTCCTAAAGTACTTGTTCTCGAGTGAGTAATGTCCCTTCAAAAGCTGAATAATTGGAAAAAAAATTCTGAGAAACAAAATTCAAGTCCAACCTCAACAACAAGGAGTGATTCGCGGGGTTAAAATCTATATTTTGTAAACAATAGGATGGAGTTGTATGTTTTTTTTATTTTTTTATATATTAGATCGTTCCCTAACTTATTAGTTATTTTTTAGCAGTGAGTTTGAGTATGTTCAAGTTATATAGTTTGGTTCATAAGTATGTCTTTGATTTTGATAATTGCAATGTACCAGCACCCACTTTTTTCAAATTCCAAATTGGAAAATACATCACTTCTATGTGATTTCCGTTTCAAGTTAACAATTATCTGTTCCAGTATTACATGTTCATCAGAAATGCCCAATGATGATAGACATGTAAATATCAAAGTGTACGATTTCGAATTATTGTGGCTTTTGAGGATTCTTGTTACAGTCGTTTTTAATCATCATTAAGTTGGGATTCTGTTCTTGTCTTACAAATAAACTACGACTAATGATAAAAAACAATGATGATGGTAGTAATAACAATGATAATAACAGTAATAATGATAAGGAAAATAACAATAACAACAATAATAATAATAACAATGGTAATAATAATGATAATAGCAATAATAATGATAAGGATGATAGAAATAATGATAAGGATAATAGAAATAATGATAAGGATGATAGAAATAATGATAAGGATGATAGAAATAATGATAAGGATGATAGAAATAATGATAAGGATGATAGAAATAATGATAAGGATGATAGAAATAATGATAAGGATGATAGAAATAATGATAAGGATGATAGAAATAATGATAAGGATGATAGAAATAATGATAAGGATGATAGAAATAATGATAAGGATGATAGAAATAATGATAAGGATGATAGAAATAATGATAAGGATGATAGAAATAATGATAAGGATGATAGAAATAATGATAAGGATGATAGAAATAATGATAAGGATGATAGAAATAATGATAAGGATGATAGAAATAATGATAAGGATAATAGAAATAATGATAAGGATGATAGAAATAATGATAAGGATGATAGAAATAATGATAAGGATGATAGAAATAATGATAAGGATGATAGAAATAATGATAAGGATGATAGAAATAATGATAAGGATGATAGAAATAATGATAAGGATGATAGAAATAATGATAAGGATGATAGAAATAATGATAAGGATGATAGAAATAATGATAAGGATGATAGAAATAATGATAAGGATGATAGAAATAATGATAAGGATGATAGAAATAATGATAAGGATGATAGAAATAATGATAAGGATGATAGAAATAATGATAAGGATGATAGAAATAATGATAAGGATGATAGAAATAATGATAAGGATGATAGAAATAATGATAAGGATGATAGAAATAATGATAAGGATGATAGAAATAATGATAAGGATGATAGAAATAATGATAAGGATGATAGAAATAATGATAAGGATGATAGAAATAATGATAAGGATGATAGAAATAATGATAAGGATGATAGAAATAATGATAAGGATGATAGAAATAATGATAAGGATGATAGAAATAATGATAAGGATGATAGAAATAATGATAAGGATGATAGAAATTATCATTGTTGATAATATCAACAATGATAATAGTAACCCTAATAATAATAAAAATTATCGAAGATAGATAATGATAATAATGATATATACCAACAACAATTATAATAATAAAACAACAATAATGATGATAATATTATTAATGATACTGAATAAGATCACATTGATAATTATCATGATAAAAATGATAATGATAGTAATAACAATAGCAATAGCAATATTGACAACAATAATAGTAGCAACAACAACAACAATAATAACAATATTAATGATGATGATAATAACAGATAATAAGAGTAATTAATTATAATTATATGAATAATGAAAAAGGGAAGAAGTTCGACAGGCCGCCACCACACTTTACAGCACTTTCAGAACCGGTACATAGGCTTGCTATTAGGCCAATAATCCGTGTCGGAATACCCCAAAGTCTCAGAATCTCCCATAGCGATTCTCGATGTACCGAGTCAAAACGTCTTCTTGAGGTCGATGTAGGCTGCAAACAACCCGTGGCCGAACTCACGACGGTGTTCCACAATTTCTCGAAGCGTTAGGATGCTGTCTATTGTAGACGAAAACCTTGCCTAGCATACTGAGCTGTGAAATGCTACGGTAGTTGCTACAGCCCCAACGATCCCTTTCCCCTTCTAGAGAGGGATGACCATGCCCCTCAACAGGTCAGGGGGAATGGAACCAGACTGCCGGATCGCAGTCAAGACTGCATGCAAGCCCTGTGCAATAAGTTCACCTCCAGCCTTTAGCAGTTCAACAAGGATATCACATATGCCATCCTAACCTCAGTTAGGGTAGAAGGTTCCTCGCTGATGGGTGGGTCCGGCACAGGTATTGTGATACCACTTGCATCCAAGCTAACTGTTGGAAGGTCTACCTGATACAGCTGCTCAAAATACTCAGCCCAACATGAACTGAGATGGTCCACTGAGCGGACTGCAGTCATCTACGAGGAGGGCTTAGAGTTCAGCATTCTCTGGGCTGGGTAGGCAGGGCGAAGGTCATTTACCAAAAAATGGCCTTCAACCTTCTCAGCAAGATTTCTGATGAACTGTCCCTTGTCCCTTATCAGCAGTGTCCGAGCCCTACGCACCAAAGATAATAGTAACAACAAATAATACCAGTAATAATAATGATAATGATGGTTAATGCTTTAAAAAAATAAATGTGCCAGACATCAAAGATCATATAGCACTATGATAAAGTATTATGGTGTAAGGGGTTTAAAGGAGTTCTTTATTAGAACAAAATCTCTTAAATTTCAGCGCCCATGGTATTATAAGATAGTATGGTAGTTGAGGGATGGAAAGAGATGAAGGGAATGGGGTAGGATAAGGATTAATAGAAAGGGGAAGGGTTTAGGATAAAAGGTAATTAGATCAAACGAAGGGTATTTATGCATCTGAGGACTGGTTGGGGGGTCGGGGGAGAGGGCACAGGTAAGGAAAAGCGAGGGTACGGGATTCTTTAAAGAGAGGGCAGGATAGTAGGATATGTGAGACTGAGAGAGGAACATTGTATGAGGAGCATAGAGGTGGGTTAGAGCATACCATGAGGTATGAATGTGTGAGGCCGGTGTAAATTATGCGTAAACGGGAAAGAACAATTTTCTCGGCGTCTGTTCTGGCGGTATGGTGCAGACCAAGGAGAGATGGAAGGTTTTATGGTTTGTAGTTTGTAGATTGCCAACGGATTAATGATAATACTACAAAAATAATGATGATGATGATGATAATGATACTAGTGATAACAATAATGTTAATGTTAATAAGAATGATGATAATAATGAGAACATTTACAGCATATCGTTAAGGTTTTTATTGCTGTTATATTAAGGTCATCATCATTGTTATAATTAACGCCATTATTGTTATTATCATTAGTATCATCATTTTTATCATTACCATCATTATTATTGTTATTATGATCATCATTACTATTGGCACTAATATCATCATCATTATTATTACTATTATCGTTGCTGTCATTATTGGTATTGTTATCATTATCACTAATATTCCTATTATTATTATTATTACTATTATAATCATCATTGTGAGTACCATTATTATGTTCAATATCATTATTTCATTATTATTATTATTATGTTCAATATCATTATTTCATTATTATCATTATTATGTTCAATATCATTATTTCATTATTATCATTATTATGTTCAATATCATTATTTCATTATTATCATTATTATGTTCAATATCATTATTTCATTATTATCATTATTATGTTCAATATCATTATTTCATTATTATCATTATTATCATATTTGTTGGTACTATTGCTATTACCATTATCAATATTATCATGCTCCTCATCATTATCATTATCATTATTATTACTATTACAGTTATTAGTAGTAGTATAATTATTATCATTATACTTATTATTATCGTTATTATTGTTGTTGTTGTTTTTATTATCATTATTGTTATCATCATTATTATTATTAGTAGTAGTAGTAGTAGTATCAATATTATTATTATCATCTTTGTAATCATGTCTGCGTACCATTTCCCTAATGGTTGCGGCGGCTGTCTGTCCGGCTTTGTTCGAACTCGTTCAGATGACTCTAGTTTGATTTTGAAACTGCCGTCTCACTTTTCAAATAAACTTGTTTAGAATGGATTTTCCAGGACTATTGTTTTTGTCATTCCAATCGTCAATATCATTTCAAATCATCATTATCATTATTAGTATTAATCGCCACCATCACGCTGAAGCACTGGCACGCTCTATTTAAAAAAACGTGATATTAGAGAATTTTGAGCGTATGTATGTTTAAAACAATACATTACCAGGCTTTGTATATGGGAAAAAATCGGTCTCTTATCCTAAGACATAAAAGCACTATAAAGACCAGTTCGAACGATTAGAGGAAGAAATACAGCGCACTCATTGCCTATGAGATCCCACGCGCTGTGATTATAGGATAATTATTATCATTATTATTATTAGCGTTGTTATCATAGGATAATGGTGATTATCGCTACTACGATTATTATCATTATTTTTATCATCATAATTATTATCATTGTTGTTATTAATATTATTAGAAGTAGTACCATCATTATCGTTATATTCATTACTATCATTGTTATCATTTATTATCATTATTGAACTTATCATCATCATTATTATGATTATCATTATCATCATTAGTGGTAATTGTATTAGTATTAACATTACGTTCACTATTATATTGTTGTTATTATTATTATTATTATCATTATCATCATCATTATTATTATCGAATCTCTGCCACTCCAGTTATAGTTATTATTATCATTCTTATCATCATCGTCACCATCATCAATATCATTATCATTATCATAATTATCATGATCATTACCATAATCATAATGATTATCATTGATATCATTATTATTATTATTATTATTATCATTAATATTGTTGTTGTTGATATTGTTATTATCA